CTAAAATTTAACTACTTTCCTAAGAATCTTCACCGAAATGAAATATGGTCTTGTCATTGGTGGGGATGGCACATGTAATAACAGCAAATGCGTTTCCATAATAAGTTTTAAGTAGAACTTTCTTCAACTAGAGGATATTTTTGAGCACAAGACAAAGTCATTATATCTGGGCAATGATAATGTGAGTTGCTTTCCAGCAAGTTATTTCAAAATTGGTTCTCTCTTCTGGATTTTAAAGGCCTTCTCTGTGTGACCTGGCCTTCCTTGCAATCACAGTCTCTCCTAGAAGGTCTGTGAATAAATGAACTGTATACAAAATGCCTCGTGCTATTTCTAAATGGAATGCTAATACAAATGTAATTATTTCCAGTAATAACAGAATCCCCCAGATGAATATGGGGGACAGGGTTGACCAGCACAGAGGCAGACTTGGTAGCATGGAAGAACAATGACAAGGGCAAAGCATTGCAGATGCATTCCTGCTCCCTATGGTTTTTTATCGGTCTTTTGTGAATTTTGTACTCGTAGCCTTTTTCAAGGGCTGGGGCCATAGCACAGTGGGTAGGGCGTTTGCCTTGCATGCAGCTGACGCGGCCGACCTGAATTCAATTCCTCCGGCCCTCTTGGAGAGCCCGGCAAGCTACCAAGAGTATCTAGCCTGCACGGCAAAGCCTGGCAAGCTACCTGTGACATATTCGATATGCCAAACACAGTAACAACAAGTCTCACAATGTAGACGTTACTGGGCCTGCTTGAGCACATCAATGAACAACGGGAGGACAGTGCAGTGCAGTGCTGCCTTTTTCAAAAATTGATTTTTGAAATGTTATTCTTAATCAGGTGTTTTGTTTTATTCTCCCTATAATTGATTTGTGTATTTATTATTTTTCTTCCCAATATATCTTTGGGATTCTTTATCTAGATGATTGACTTTATCGCTGTATGCAATGATTTCCCCCTTGTTAAATGAATTTAAAGCCCCACCAGAAGTGACCTGAGTGCAGAGCAGGAGCAAGTCCTGAGCAACACCAGGTGTGGCCCCCAAACAAAAAGATATGCCTGTTTTGGATTACACAATCACTGTCACTGTCACTGTCTTCCTGTTGTTCATTGATTTGCTCGAGTGGGCCCAGTAATGAGCAGGCCCAGTAACGGCTCCACTGTGAGACTTGTTGTTACTGTATTTGGCATGTCAAATATGATTTTCCAGGTTTTGCCATGCAGGTGAGATACTCCCGGTAGCTTGCCAGGCTCTCCAAGAGGGGTGGAGGAATTGAACCCAGGTCAGTCGGTTTGGCCGTGTGCAAAGCAAATGTCCTACCCACTGTGCTATTGCTCCAGCCCAAGACTAGAGGTGGGATATGAGCTAGAAGGACAGTCCCAGACTCTCCCCATGTTAACAAAGAAAATCGGGTCCCTCTTCATTGTACCAGGTACTTCTGGAGTGTGGATGAGGTAATGGCTATAGTAGGCCTCCATTCTGTTGTGTCAATGAGCCTCGCAATGTAAAACTAGCCACGGGTCAGGCATGGTGCAGGCTGAATATTCCTCTCAGCTCAGCACAGTCCTTCCTGGTAGTCTGAAGATAGCCTCGGATGCAGTGACTCAGCAGTTTTTGCCATTTGAGGGAGATGAGCCTTGACTCACTAGCTGCACTCCTGCACAGCTGTGGGCAGGGCTAACTTCTGGAAGCTCCCCCAGAAAAAACAGGGATGAGAATGTGCCTTCAAGGGGAAAGTCTCAGCACAGCGCTTTGTGAGGGGAAAGATCCGTCATTGAAACGGCACTTCTCCTAAGGTGTGTAGTCGCGGAGGTTCCTGTCACGAATCCTAATTTAATATTGATTGGCAGCCTATGCTGATGCTCCGGATCCCTGAAGCATACTGCGACACCACCGGACTACATATTCACACCATGATGATCCGCACGTATTGATCATGCTCACTCTGTGCGAAAAGTGTCTGCGACCGCATTGTGCTGTGTGTCATCTAACCTGTGCCTGTAGTGGTAGTGATGACAGTGGTGGCAGAGGTGGAATCAACGTGGGGGATATATTTAATATATGTTTGATAATTTTTAATAAAATATTCTCACAATTTTCATTTCAATCTCTTCTTTCAAGGCAAACAAGCAACTTCACTTTCTTTCCTTTTTTCTTTTTGGTGATTCTTTTTGGGGCTATCCCCAGCAGTACTCAGGAGTTACTTATGGCTCTGCACTCAGGAATTATTCCTAGTGAGCTTAGGGAACCATATGGGTAATGGGCATTGAACCTGGGTCAGCTACATGCAAGGCAAATGTTCTACCCATTGTACTATTGTTCCAGTCCTGGAAACTCCAAATTTTAACCATATTTACTTTTGAGGTAAATTAACAGCTATATATATATATATATATATATGTATAATGTACATATATATAATCTCCTATATTATAGTGTTTTTTCACTTTACAGATGCTTTAAAAGAAAGTAAAGTAATTTTTTTCTTACAGTGAGCTCTGAACTCCTTCCCTTTGGGAAGACAGTGGGAAACATGGCAAAAGAGGGCCAGTTGACCTCCTGCAAATCACAACTCCATGCTTGCTCTCTGGGGTATCTTAGATAAATAAGTCCTGTGTGCCTCAGTGTACTCATCCGTTAAGCTGTAGTGAGATTAAAAAGTTATGAAAAGATAGGCTGGAACAATAGTGCAGTGGGTAGGGAAGTTGCCTTGCATGCAGCCAGACTGGGTTCTATCCCAGACACCCCATGTGGTCCCCAGAGCACTGCTAGGAATAATTCCAGAGTGCAGAGCCAGGAGTAACCCCTGAGCAGTGCTGAGTGTGACCCCAAAAGCGAATAATAAAAAAATTAAAAGTTATGGAAAGAATTAAAGGTAATTTGTAGGACAAACGAAATAAAAGTTTCTATTCAAGGAAATACCAGACATCACTACAGATCATTTATGTAAAATATACATAATATCATTTTAGTGTTTCATAACAGCAATTATTCCTATTTGTATCAGAGATGATCTCTGGGGGGAAATACACATTCTTCCTGAGGAATTATTGGATGCAGTAATAATAAACAAAATAAAAGAATTAAAGGGAAAATCAGGTAAAGGAAAACCACTGACTTCTTTTCAGTGGTTTGAAACAGCTCCGGAGCCACGCCCCTGCACTCGGTGAGTCCGGGTTCCAGACAAGGACACTGGAGACGGTTGTCTGATTCACAAGCTCTGCAGATTGAGCTGGAAAAATTCACAGGCTGGGCCTAAATGCTTCAACGGAATTTAGCTTGTCTGTTTTCCCAGTGAGTTGGCAGGGGAAAAAATTTACAGCCAGTCAGCTGTGTTTTAGAGCAAAGGTAGCACAAATGACCAAGAAAACTTATATCTGCCAATCAAAAATCAATAAAAAAAAGTTTGAGAGCATACCCTGAAAGGATAATCTATCTCAAATAAAATATAGAGCTGGTTTTGATCTAGAATGTTAAGGATTTGACTATTGCATAAAGTAGTCCTGTACTCGTGGCTCGAGGAATGAGTATTTACTATCTTAGAGACAACCACTGCATAGTTCATGAATATACATTAATATGCTAAATGCAGAAAAAATCAAGGCATGGGAAATCAAATTGAGATCATGTTCCAGCTTTCTAGAAATAGCTTGCACATAAGAACAACTAAAACACTCATTTTGCTTTGTTTAGTCTTAATTTCTATTTCTGTGGTTAATTAAAACTCTAATTTTCAAATAACTCTGCCTATAGATAAACGACTACTTTACAGCCAACAATGGCTGGCTGACTCATCTTGGTTCACAAGTCTCAATTCCATATAAAAAAAACATGGAAAAAATGCCTTGATTGTAAGCAATCAGAAATGAACACCCTTTAATTAAAAAGGAAAATCCCTAGTAATTCATTTTTTCTCTTTCTACTCTCCCCCCTCCCCCCCCAAAAAAGAGAAGTAGTGCAGAGAAGCAATTAAAATGCAGCCACTCTGTGCCCTCAGGATGCCTGAGGAGAACCTTTACGAGTGAAATAATTACCTTCAGGTTTCTCATTTTCTTCCCTCTGCCAGACTGAATTGCTTTTAGTCCTCCTCTAGAAACAATGCATTGTCTTGCCTCTCCCATCAACCCTAGATTTCTAAGTCGTAATCTTTTTTCTGTGAAAATGATAAGGCGTATGTTTATATGGCCACTGTCCGTTTGAATGGGACCGCAGACAGGAGAAGGGACCAGTCTAATGACAAACTGCACTTGGGATGTAGAACTTTGGAGATGAGGTAACTAGTGTGAAATCAAATGAGTGTGTTCATGGCCACCCCACGAATCTGTTCTCACAAGGAGGGCTGGCACGAGAGATGAATCCCCACACCAAAAGGTACCAAGACTCTTGCAAAATTTCAACACTGATCTGACAATTTTTTTTTAATCATGATAACTTTTTTTTTTAAACCACGATCACCCTCGGAAGAAAGCACATCTTCCACTCTGATCTTTGCAAAGCTGTGGCATGGCTCACCTGGAGACTGCAACCACACTCGATGGGAACTCCAGGGTGACCAGCGGCCCCCGTGGCAATGTGACACAGAGCACAAGTCCAGGGAAGGCTCAGGACCAGAAACAAACAGAGCAGCGCTGCAGCATTCCAAACAGTTCACAACCACGCGCATGCATGTCTTTGGGATGTGGCAAACAGAGATAAGACGCGGGGTTCCAGTAAAGCGAGTATCAATGCAGTTTAAGGTATTTACGAAACTTCATGCCAGGTCACAGAGTGTGCCAGGAGCCCAAGAAATGGAAAGGGAAGCGCCTTCAGAAGCTTGGGGGAGGTGCAGGGTCACTAAAAGAGTACGAGGAGGAGAGCACGGTCAAACCACAGGATGACACGGTCACGAGACAGCCTGAGCGGCACTCAGGAGGGAGAGAGCCCTTCCCGAGGAGCGGCCCATGCAGCCTTGGCCAGCACTCACAGGGGCACAGGGGCAAAGAAGAGAGAGCGCTCTTACTGTAGCACACGGGAGTGGCTGAAATCGCTCATATCACAGTCCTGATAATGCGGACTTAGCACTCCCAGCCCACTATCACTCAGCACGTGCTTCCGCAGGGGAGGGTTCCACCAGTCTGACATCCTGGGAGAAAGAAGGGCACCAGACATTTCAGCATCAGCAGTCAGCCGCAGGACTTCCTCCTCCCTTCCTCAAGGAGCTGGGGAAGAAACTCTAGGGGGTAGAGACCCTGCACAGAGGGTTTTCTCTAATCTTCCCAACAGTCTATGAGTTCGCTCTCCCTGTTTGTCTGCTCCTTCTGGGCCTTCACCCATAAGTGCTCAGGAATGAGCCCAAACTCAGTGTTCTAGGGGGCTCCATGGTGCTGGGGATTAAATCTGGGCAAACTCTGGGCTCCAGACCCTGCAGGTATCTCTCTGGTTCAGAGTTTGCCCTCTTTCTGGATGAGAAGAGTTAAATTGAGGGCAGATTGTATTGTTTTTTTAAAAAAATAATTTACTGGGTCTGAGTGATAGTACAGTGGTAGGGCATTTGCCTTGCATGTGGCTGACCCAGGTTCGATCCCCAGCATCCCATATGGTCCTCTGAGCACCACCAGGAGAAATTCCTGAGTGCAGACCAGGAGTAACCCCTGAGCATCATCAGGTGTGACCCAAGAAGAAAAAAAAATTCCCCCCATTTATTTTTAAATTTCTTTATGTACACACGCAATTTTATTTTATTTTATTTTTAAATTTTCTTTATTGAATCACTGTGAGATAGAGTCTTACGAAGCTGTTCGTGATTAGGTTTCAGTCACACAGTTTTCCAACACCCATTCCTTAAACGTGTCACATTTAAAGACATTTTAAATTGTCTTTAAATGTGATACAAATGCAGAAAGAAGAGAGTCTGATGCTGAAGATGTAGACCAGAAACCGTCAAACTCGTCCTCTTTTGTTGCTTCTCTGTTTCTAATTTCTTTCCTCTGTTCCTAACTTACTTCTGCTACGTATGAGGTTCTGGTTCAAGTTCTAATGGGTGGGAGTGACTGAGGTCTAACACTGGGCAGGGCCCCTTCCTTTGGGCCAGTATTTGATTTGAGAGAATAACTGAAAGGACAAGAAAGTAAAAGAATGAGGGGGGAATGAGGTTGGCAAAATGGTCCAGAAACTGGACTGGGCAGGTGGGTGAGCATCTCAACTCAGAACTCACTGCCCTCCGCAAGCAGGACATGGTTTCTTGCTGGCATTCCCCATACTTGATAGGCCTGATTTAAAAGCACACACGTGGGCTGGAGCTATAGCACAGTGGGTAGGGCCTTTGCCTTGTATGTGGCCAGCCCGGGGTTCAATTCCCAGGATCCCATATGGTCCCCCGAGCACCACCAGGAGTAATTCCTGAGTGCATGAGCCAAGGAGTAACACCTGTGCAACGCCGGATGTGACCCAAAAAGCATAAATAAATAAATAAATAGGTAAGGAGGTAAAGGTAAAGGCCCTCCCGTTGATCGTCGATTTGCTCGAGCGGGCCCAGTAACGTCTCCATTGGAGACTTTGTTGTTACTGTGTCTGGCATATCGAATACTCTCGGTAGCTTGCCGGGCTCTCCGAGAGGGGCGGAGGAATCGAACTCGGGTCGGCCATGTTGGCCGCTTGTAAGGCGAACGCCCTACCCGCTGTGCTATCGCTCCAGCCCAATAAATAAATAAATAAATAAATAAATAAAATAAAAGCACACACTTGTCTGTCAAGGGGTTTCTCACCACCCCCTTCTTCTATAAAGCACCAGCCTGGGCTTCCTGCCAGGAAAGCCATGCTTAGCATGTCATTAACTCCATCATCCTAAACACAGCTCACTCACTTTTCATTCCGCCCTGCACTGCTGTGTTACCTTGACATACCAAGACTGGGTACACGCCCAGGGTATTAGCTGATGCAGCCAGAGGGGAAATTCTCAGACTGAGCAGCAACAGTCAAAAAAAGTTAGGGAAGGGGCATTTGCACAGGCTGGTTGAGTGTATGCTTTCCAGGGAGATCTTAATCGGAACTAGCTTCCAGTTACGAGTAACCACTGAAATTCATGCCACTTTACCGTAATGAAAATTTATGTTTTTATTCTGTGCTGTTGTTCCCCCAAATGCTGCTGTCAGTGCCTGCACATAAAAAAGCACTCTAAAAAAATTTTTTTTTAAATTACGGAAATAGACTAGGAACACAGTAACATTTTTGTGTTCCAATGTAGCAGCTTAATGAAATGGCCCTAGAATGAGAAAACTGGAGAGCAATGTCCATTTTTCACTTGCATTCTGTACAGAACTCAGAAATTCACAAACCCTATTAAGCCTTGGTTTTCCTACCTGCAAATTTAGGATAATAATAGTGCCAAAGACAGGAAGCACTGTGAAATGATGGTAATGATTTTAATCACATCGTGTTTAGTAGCACATATTTAGGCACCAAGCACTATTCTAAAGGTTTTCACATGTTAGTCCACCTTCAAACAATTCTGTGAAAAGGTGGTATTATTTTCATTTTGCAGGTAAGAAACAGGCCCAGAATACGAAAGATGATTAAGTCATGGAGAGGTGGCAGGGATAAAAGAAGGGCATTTAACACAGTAGGTGGCTCATCATAATTGCTTAATTTATGACAGCCATCATTATGAAACCTAAATGCCTCGGGTCACCTAGATAGAACAAAAAAGAGGAGAAAAAGGAGAAAAATAGAAGGAAAAACTGAAACAAGAGGACAATAAACTGTCAAACCACTTCTGCAATTTGTATTTGGATAAATAGTCTGTACAGATGCTTGAGTACAAATGCAAACACATACGAGTGTTTGCTAGTTTGCTAGAAAATATGAACATGATGGCTAAGGAAGACTCAGATATGGTATAAATTCTAGGTCAGAAAAAGTAATTCCATACAGCCATGGAACTAGCTACATTGCGTCCTAGAGAAATACTAGAAATCCTCCACTTTAAAATAGTGTGATGTCATTTCATTAGAATATCAAGTTCAAAGTCAGACTGGACGTGGCTGTTACCCATGACCATCAAAGAGCAGCACACTTACCCCGAGGCTTGCTCCACCACCAGATCTGGCATTCCTGGGGGTGTTCCCGCCTGCTGAGACAACGCCATATCTGGGTCCAAAATGAAAATCTCATCCTGGGAAATCTCCATCACAAAATGCAAATGTTCCTAAGGAAGGAAAAGACACCCGTTAGATGATGGATGGGGAGTTCAGATCCATCGTCTGAAGGCTAAACGCAATGCAGCACTCTTGAACTTATGGAATAAGGAAGTCCTGAAACACACTAAATGACCACTGTAGCTTTGAAGTCCTGACTGAGCAGTGGGACACTCCAAGAAGCCCCACTGGGACAGGAAAATGACGGCATGGACCGAACCTCTCTTGGGGGATCCCAGTCTAGCCAGGCAACCAGGTGTAGTCTTACCTCTTATGATTCCAAATATTATTAAATAAATACAGTCCGCATGCAACTTGGCTCAGGCCAAGTGAACAATTACCCAGATCTGGTTGAGTCTAAGTGGCTTAATTACCAAATGGTTTAAAACCAGGACTCCCAACCACACTTTCCTACCCAGGGAGTCTGGGAGCAGGATCACTTATCACTGAGCAGAGGAAAAAGGAAAAGACTTTCTCTCCTCTCATTGCCAAACTCTGGGAAATGATAGAGAAGCCTTGATAGACACTTGAGGTCTCAAACTTGCTAACCAAAAATGAATTTTAAGAGGTTTAAAATTTGGTTTGGATGCAGTAACAAAAGCAATGTGAGAGTTTCGAGTGCAGGCTGAGAATGACAAACCCAGTTATTTTCCATCCTTCTGATGATTAAGCCACGCCAGCTTGAGTCTATAAATCATGGACTACATAAATATAAAGTGCTCCTAGTTTGTTTTTTGCTTTTTGGGTCACACCCAGTGATGCACAGGGGCTACTCCTGGCTCTGAACTCAGGAGTTACTCCTGGCGGTGCTCGGGGGACCATATGGGATGCTAGGAATTGAACCCGGATCGGCTGCATGCAAGGCAAACGCCCTACCCACTGTACTATTGCTCCAGCTCCCAAAGTGCTCCTAGTTGAGGTTCTGAATGTAATCACACACAATTTACAAATCCTCCTGCCTTTTGTTCCCAAATTTGTAAGAGTTACAAATAAAGTTCATTTACTTGGATATTTTTCACTTTCGGAAGAGGCTCAAGAAAACTTACCTGAGATCTGTCTATTCGATAAAAACGATCAGCAGATGTTGCTAGGAAGGGAAAAAAGCATATGGCGGTCAGTGTCCTGTGATCTGGAACAAAGCTACAACATTCTCTCTTCTGTCACTCTAAAACTCTGCCTTCCAGTCAGGCCAGACTCCTGCCCCATTCCTTAACATACTAAGAAAGAGTCCGGACCTTTGCCCCTGCTAGGAAGCCCTTCTTCAAGGCTTCTGCATCACCAGATCTTCCATGTCTTCTAAGGACCAACCCAAAGAACTTCTCTTCCCAACTTCCCTAGCCCAGGCAGAATTCACTGCCCCTGCCTAAGTGCTCATGGATGCTTTGTTTCGATTTCTTACTGCACCTTTGCTCATGGATAACCAACAAAAGCAATGATAACCTGCCTTTCTAAAAGTCTATGTTTTATTCTTTTATGTCTCTAGATATGTATTAGCACAGAACCCTAAAGAGACACAAAATTTAAAACTTGGTATGTATTTATTAAATAAAATGATTTAAAAAAAAACAGTCGTTAGCTAGACTTCCTGGGGATGCAATTTTCATTTTGCAAAAGAAGTCGAAGATACATAGCCAGAAATCACATCTGGTATAAGAGAAATCATTTCACTGTAAAACAGAACTCTCTAAGCCATGTCTATAGAAAGTCAAAATGGGAAGGGGGAGGAGAGAAAGTATGTAAGCATTCCTATAAAAGTATTATATTGCATCTGTAGTTTGTGGAGAAAAAGAAATTATTTATTTGGGGTCTCTAGAAATCACTCTATTTTTCATATTCAAAAGAATTATATATTTTTCTCCCACTTAAACCTAAGAGTCCAAATGTTGTGAGCAGATTTTTGTACAAAGTACATCCTTCTTGGAGAGAAAACAAAATGCAAATAGTCATAACTAAAATTAATAAATATTTAATGAGTAGCTTTGGTCTAAGAGAACTGGGCAAATCAGACACACATGGTCTCCCGCCCTCTGAAAGCAAGGAATAGGCTTTACATGTGAAGGACTTGTTTTCTTTTCAGTCATGACTGAAATCACTTTTGAGTGTTTAAAATTTTTTTTATAAAACTATCTATGAATAAAACTAATCTGGATTAAGATAATTATCTACATTTGTAGCTTTGGTCTATAGAACAAATGCTACAGGAATACAGTGTTGTAAGGGGCCTGAGCAGTAATACAGTGGATAGGGTGCATGCCTTGTACATGTCAACAGGGTTTGATCCTCAGCACCTCATATGCTACCCCAATCACTCCCAGAGGTGATCCCTGAGTGCAGGAGTAAACCCTGGGCAGTATTGGGCATGACACCCCTCATACCAAAAAAAAAAAAAAAAACCAACCAAAATACTGTAACAATTTTCCTAAGCCTAAGTCGTTCCTCTGAACTCAGAAAAGAAATGACTGAACAAAGAAAAAAAGAAAAGAAATGACTTTTTCATTCTGAGGAATGGGGCTGGAGCGATAGCACAGCGGGTAGGGCGTTCGCCTTACAAGCGGCCAACATGGCCGACCCGAGTTTGATTCCTCCGCCCCTCTCGGAGAGCCCGGCAAGCTACCGAGAGTATTCGATATGCCAGACACAGTAACAACAAAGTCTCCAATGGAGATGTTACTGGGCCCGCTCGAGCAAATCGACGATCAACGGGAGGGCCTTTACAATTCTGAGGAAACAGAGGAACAAACACTGTGTGAGTTATTTTTAGAGGCCGTAGGCAAACCAGTAGAGAAAACCTGTCATGATTTGTGTGGGTTAAATCTCATATGGACACAACTTGTACCTTCATATACTGTTCACCCGTTCAGAGATCTGGTTTTTCTCTTGCCTATATTTGTAACCTGTGAGATGATGCCCGAACAGATAAAGAAAAGAGAGGTGTACAATGAAATTCATGTGTCCATAGGAAGGAGGCTGGTTATAGATACAACAGGCACTGTGCAAGTGGGAACACATTGCAACATGGTAGCTGGAAAGAAAGATGGGATAAAATCACCTGCAGGAGGTAAGAAGTGCATGAACTAGAAAATGAACTCATTAAAATATTAAGAAAAATAGCTGACCTAATATGCATTCCATATGTTAAGCTCAGTAGAACAAAGGTGAGTGTAATTGGCATTTTTTAGGACTTTCTTTAAAATGTATGCGTTGTACTGAAATGATGTTTTGTTTGATTTGGGTTTGGTTTTGGTTTCAGGGCCACACCCAGTTGTCTATTACCCGGAGATGTTCATGTGTAATTTGGGGATTGGACCCAAGTAAGTGGTCTTGCCCATACTATGTCTCTGACCCTGATATGATGGTGTAATTTACGACAGTCCCCTCATAAATTAAACAATACACAAATTAATCTCTATTTGATCTTGCTGAATCCACAGACTGTCCTGAATGTTGGTCAGGTACTCAGCCCTGTTTAGGAAAAGGCAGGTAATCAAAAGAAAAGTGACAGCTTGGTCAGTGTGACACTGAGAAGTTCAACTAGAGCTAACCAGAATCAAGTTCACCTTCTCTGGGATGCAGATGCCAATCACGAAGAGCTTCTGGATATTATTCTGGAAGACCTCATTCTAAGGATCTTGTCCTGGTAATCGCCCAACCCCCACCCCTCTGTGAAAGACAGAAACACTCACCATCTAGAAAGCACCAGCGTGGGGAGAGCCTCTGAGCGGAGAGCGCCCTGGGAAAGGAGGTTTCGTGATCCTGGAAAGAGACACACACATCCTCAGGGCTCCAGGTGATTGACCTGTGGGGTGGCCCTCACTGGACATCCTGCTGCCCTACCACTTTCTCAAAACACACACCCTTTTCTGAAAACAGTGCTAGCAGGAGACCACATCATGTATTTTGACCCGAAACATAAACTAGGATTCTGTTTCACAAAGAATTTCTGAAACCATAAGACTTCCAGGAGGTTTTCAAGGCATTCATAAGTTAGAAAGCTTGATATATTCATTTCTTTTTTTTTCTTTTGGGACTACACCCAGAGATGCACAAGGGTTACTCCTGGCTTTGCACTCAGGAATTACTCCTGGCAGTGCTCAGGGGACCATAGGCGATGCTAGGAATCAATCCCAGGTTGGCTGCGTGCAAGGCAAATGCCCTACTTGCTGTGCTATAGCTCCAGCCCCGAGACATTCATTTCTTTCGGAGAACTGCTTCCCATGTGTGGAGCAGGAGGAATGAGGGACCGCTGACTGTCACATGTAGTCTGTTTCTCCCACATAGATGAGCAAATACCTCCAATGAAGAGACTCTCAGCCAATGGGGACCTTAAAAATCATCATGAAGGGGCTGAAGCAATAGTACAGTGGGTAGGGCATTTACCTTGCACACGGCCGACCCAGGTTTGATTGCCAGCATTACATATGATCCCCTGAGCACCACCAGGAGTAATTCCTGAGTGCATGAGCCAAGAGTAATCAATGTGCATCACTGGGTGTAAACCAAAAAGCAGAAAAAAAAATCCTCACGAAATAAGGAGCCCATTCTAGTTTTCAACACTGGATTCAGAGCATGTTATGAAAGCCAAATTACAAAGGGAAAATGGGGCAAATGAGGAGGGAGATGTGATATCTGTGGGGAAGATATTTAATAGGGAATTGAGATGGTCAAGTCTAAGCAACTATCCCTTGGGTGTATCAGGGTGTGGGTGACTGAGCACATGCAGCGAATGGGCGAAAGAAAAGGAAGTAACCTAGTAGTCTCTATGTTATGATGCTAGCCTGCTGTTCTGGGAACCAACTATTGTTGGGGGGATGTTAATTGATACTTCCTCCAGTTGTTTGTGATCCTCAAGCAAAACCTAAACTTTAGTGGTTTTCAAAATGCACACAAAGGAATAGCAGTCCACTGGGAACTCATCAGAAGTGCCAAGTCCCAGGTTGCCACTTCAGATTTACAGAAAATCCAGGGTGGAACCCAGCATTGAGTAAGTCATTCAGGTGAATGTCCTCAAGTCTTAAGTTTTAGAACCACAGATCTAAAGTTACTGGGGGAAAAGGAATCCATCCTACTATTAGGAATATTGGATAGATAAGAGTTGGAATAAAATAGGAATAAATAGGAATATTTAGGAATAATAGGAATAAGAGTTGCACATTAAATACTTGGTAGAGGGAAAGTTGGTCAGTACTAATAGTGAAATGTATGTTTACGGAGAACTGGTATACCTCTGTACATAAACATTCATTTTTAAACCGACTTGCCCTTTTGCTTGTTGAACTAAATTAAATATTGACATATAATTATATGTTTTGACATATGATAATGCCTATTTATATCATAATAATATCAAACATCCTGGTGAATTATGTTTTGATATGTGGTATCTTGTTTTAAAGGAATGTAAGTTTTTTCATGTATTTTTATGAGACACATAGAGAAACCGATTTGTCTGAATTTAAAATATCACTGTAAATCAGAGAAACATAGTTATAAATCAAGAAAATCTAAATGTAATTTGAAATATTCAATGGCAACTACAAAAATGAATAAAAAGGGTAAGTATGAACAACCTCTTCTATAAGAATAAAGGCAATTAAACATTAGGGACGTTTGCTGCTTTCAGCAATCATCCAGGGATAAGATCCTATTTCCCAAGTCAGAGTCTGACAGAATACAGAAACACTAACAGATTATTTTTTAAAACTTAAAGATTGATAATGTTCCAAAGAAGAAAATAGTGTATATGATTTAGTCTAGCTTAATAAAATGCAGACTGACATAAAACCTAAGCCCCAGAACTATGAGCCTACCACATGTTGGTAACCGACACTAATAAAACAGTGTACTTTTTCATGTGCAGATGTGTTTGGGGGGGGAAGGGGGAAGGGATTGCATGCATATATCTAGCTTTATCTATTTATTTTTATTCAATTCTTTTCACTTATTTACTCTATAAATCACAAAAACATTTGCTATAACTCAAATTTCTGAAGGAGACTGTTCAGGGTAATAATTAATGGGAACTGAATATTTTTTTATTAGTTTTTTTCATTTTTTTTTATTAGTGAAGCACCATGAGGTACAGTTGTAGATTTACAAATCTTTGTGCCTGAGTTTCGGTCATACAATGATCAAATACCCATCCCTCCACCAGTGCCCATTTCCCCCCAGCCTCCTCTGTGGCAGGGCAGTCCCCCTTGTTCTCTCTCTCCTTTTGGGTGTCGTGGTCTGCGAAAGAGGCATTGAGTGGCAATCATGCTCAGTCCATAGTCTACTTTCAACATGCATTAATGGGAAATGAATATTAAAGATGTGACTATACTTTACATTGTCTATTTAAAAGTTGTTGAAATTAGATTTATAAAATTTTCATCAAGAAAAAGACTGCAATGTTATGGTGATTGATGTTAATTAGGCTTATTGTGGAGCTCTTTCTGCAATGTATACAAATACCAAGTTAAATAATATCATATATTTGAAACTAACACATTATAAAGCATTATATAGCATTATTATATCATACATTAATTTTTGGAAAAAGAAAGTTTGGTTAAAGTGAATGTTCTCAGTTTTCTCTGTAAAAACACCTCAGTTGAACAAAAGGGAATGCCCTGCCACAGAGGTAGGGTGGGATAAGGGGGATGGGGGGCGGGAGGGGTGCTGGGACCCATGGTGGTGGAGGATGGGCACTGGTGGAGGGATGGGTACTTGATCATTGTATAACTGAAGCCCAAGCACAAATATTTGTAAGTCTATAACTGTACCTCATGTTTCACTAATAAAAAAAATTTAAAAAAAAAAACCTCAGTTGTCATGTAGCATTTTGAAACATTTCAAATAGGGTTAAAGAGGTTTTCAAGTAGGGTAGCAATTGAACTCCCTGAAATCTTACAAAATTCAGTGTATCTAAGTGTATGACCAATTCTGCATTGTTTTCTAGTGACTATCAAATTGATCTCAAAAGTTTTTTTTAAAAACCTAAAACTTTAAGTCAGAAGAATTTTTTTGAAGTGGAATATTATAATCAGTAAAATGCTTATTTCAAAATTACTAGTGATTCTAGTATCAAAAACAGAAACTCTGAACTTGCAGTCATTCTTCTGATATCAGGCAAAACTCAGACCATGCTCTACACAGAAGGATTCAATGAACCTTTTGTTTATTTCTATCCAGGCACCCTCCCAAATGTCTGTTTTTAGCCTATTATACAAAGTGCTTAAAGATTTTGTGCTTACATTTATCATTTTTTTAAAAATCAGGAAAAAATACTTGTATTAAGTTTTAGACCAGCTCATACTAAAGTTAAATAATGCTTCACTAATTAAGTGTACATAAATTCCATAAAAAATAAAAGTTATTTAAAAAATTAATTGCACGGCCAGAGAGATAGTGTAGTAGGTCGAGAATTTGCCTTGCATTCAGCTTACCCAGGTTTGGTCTCTGGAATCACATATGGTCCCCAGAGCAGAGCTAAGAGTAAGTCCTGATCATAGTAGGGTATGGCCCCCAAGCCCCAAAATATTATTTTTAAAGCTTGAATTAAATGCTTTCTTGGTCACCTGGAGATTAAACTGCAATCTTGAGCTTATACAGCACACACTGAGCTCTAGATTCTTAGAATGATTTGCTCGAACTGGGTTTGTATTATACTCTTGCTCCTTTTTAATATAATTTTCAACATGCCTCATAATGTTGAGAATTCTGAAGGGGACAATATTTAAAATAATGAGGCCTTAAATGAAAAGAACATGGAATTCCAATGGGATTTAAATGTGTTCAATGTCTATAAAGTTGGGAAAGATTTATAGTGTGTTGCAATTAAGCAACTTACATATAACTTACTAAACTTTTACATATCTAAGGAGATATATAAAAGTTCAGTCTCTGCAAAATTCTGCCCTTGTAGCTAAATAAATCCACATATGCAAATGAAAGGTTCTGACATGTACTGTACTCAGAAAGTGGAAGATTATCCTAAAACTAGTGTAAAAGGATGTTTTAATGCAGCTTACTGACAAAACTGTGATACACACCCACAAAACACACCAATGATTTATATATTGAAAAGGAAGGCAGGAGATTGAGTAAAATGTGGTGCTAGGACAACGTCTCTAAGATCTGGGAGAAAATAGGAAGGGAAGAGCACAAAAGGAAGAGCAAACCTGAAGGAGGTTAAGGCAGTTGCTGATTTCTTTTCAGTTAAAAAGTTAAGCATTCAATTCTTTTTAATAAGCATGCTTTGAAAAATGAATAATTTTGTAAAATGAGATTATTACACCTCAAATTTGTATGATCAAAATATTCCTTTCCTTAATACATTTAAGTGTCATAGGAAAACCAGTTTATTAACAGGAAGGAAGAACAATACAATTGATTATATATGTCTCAATTTTAGTGACTGTATATGTTCCAAGTCCAGATGTACTGGGATTCCCAGAAAGAGGAAGAGCACTGAGCACAGAGCCTACCTGGCTGTAAAGAGGTAACATGTAGTGAGTGCAAGTTTCTTTCCCATCCCATTTCTTAGGCGCTTTGTTCATAAAATAGGAAATGGCCATCATCATCAGAGTCTGTCATCAAGGATTCTTTTTTTTTTTTTGGGTCACACCTGGAGATGCTCAGGGGTTACTCCTGGCTCTGCACTCAGGAATCACTCCTGGCAGTGCTTGGGGAACCATATGGGATGCTGGGAATTGAACCTGGGTCGGACACGTGCAAGGCAAACGCCCTACCCGCTGTGCTATTGCTCCAGCCCC